TAGGTAGTTTCCAAGTATAATAACTACAACAAATACTTAAAAACAGTACCTACGATCATTAATTATAATCAATATACGCGGACTCGCCTATTACTGGTTCTTGTAAGCTTTAGATCCCCTAAACAAAATTACAAATGTATGAACAATATTTGTAGATTTAAAAAATTGTCCTAGGATATGGGGACGAGTGTAGCCACTGTTATAGATAATTTAATGCACATATGTTAGTAACGATTAACCATTGCTAACGAAAAAACGATTTTGAGCGGAGTTCAGTTGGAAGTAATGCAATATATATATATATTATTATGGTGAAATAATTAAATAATCATTAATAATATTTGTTTAATGTACCGATTTTTCCGTTTTTGCTACGTTTTTCCCAGTTTTCCCATGTTTTTTCCTGGTTTTCCACATTTGTTGAGAAAACTCCTGAGGAAATCGAGAAATTACCTCTTTAAAGTACCTCGCCACACTGATTTTCCGTCAGAAAAGGTGCTACACGTAAAAATCGGAACAAATTATCTGATAAAAAAGTTGACCACAAAAAAAAAAAAAATCAAAACTATTGTAAAACCATTACATTCAATATTCCGCTTAAAAATCTAAAACATTATCTGTAAGATAGCGTTTGCCATATATATACCAATAAAATGCATCTATTCATAATCTATTAAATATGCATTACCTCCATATATAATATTTATTCATTGCACATTTTATACGCATTAAATTATTTTTATAGTTTTTACAATAATATGTTAAGATAGTCCAATAAAACACAGACCAAAAGTTGTGGTGCCAATATATATATATAGCCTGCCCACTTATCAAATGATGCTCCTATTCATAAATACGATTTTTCGGAATTTTGTTTAAAAATGATCAATCTCGATGTGAGAAATCGAGTGTGAGAAATGTGTAAATCGAACATTTACATAAAAAAAAAAAAGGCTTTCTTAATATACCTACCAGCGCATAAACACGATTTATAATAATAATATTCCAATCAATATCTTTTTACCAATTAGTGTAAAATACTATAAAATAATATGTAGAAACTAACCGACTATCGCGTAAATGGTCGTCTATTCTTAGCGCCGTATTTAATGTATTTCTGTAACGGTGCGGTTATTTCGTATTTTTACGAATCATATTATTTTTTGTTGCCGTAGTCGCCCCATCACTCTACTATTTGTCCATTAATCATATCGGTTTCTGCGGTTGATTTTTGCAATTTAAAAGCTGTACACTTTTTTACGAGCACCGTATCTTTGTGTACACGGGTATAGCCGGGGGGTCGTAATTCTATTATGAAGTTATCCACCCCTTCTAGTGTGCTACGGTTTTGATAAGGGTGGACAGGCCCGCGCGTCTACAGCAAGGCATATATATGACTAATGGGCTATGTTAACACCCGCGAAACCCCAACAACTGAGCCCTAATTTTTAAACACTCCATTAATACGGTCGTACACTGTATACAGAGTACGTTTCTCTTATACTACTGGGAATCGTCCCCGGGGAAACGAACCATTTATTCTAGATACGAATACCGGATTTGTTTGCGTCGATCATAATCTGCTGCGGTGCATTTAAATATGTAGAGATTTATGTGCACGTAAAAACTTCAAAATTCTAATTTTATCTCTCTAAACTAATAGTAATTCGATTTGGATAAACCATATTGCTATATATTTGGCGTTGGGTTTATTTACAACCAGAACAAGTGGGTAACTGGGGCGGTAAAATTTTAGAGGCACCTAACTTAAAAAAAAGAAGATAAAAATGAATTTACTTTTTTATATTCTTAAACAGAAACGAGCTGTTCTTAAATGCTAGTAGTGTCTCAATACTATTTGTTTTGTTACCCTTATTTTTGAATGTAAAACAACTATTTAATTCTGATTTTCAAATGGCATCCTATATTAAAAATTCTATAATAAATAGATGTATTATTAGTTTACTTGCATTTTGGTCAAAACATATCTATTGGCGTTTCTTTCAAAAGAAACGCGTTATTTTCATAGGAACGAAGTTTGGAACGCGTTCCTTTTCAAATATAGGAAATATATAATATACTATATAGGAACGAGGAACGGAAAAAGAGTTCCTATTTATGTGGAACGTGAACGCAAATTTCCGTTCTTTCTATTAGGAAAAAAAATGAAACGCGGGTTATTTTAGTGATAATATTGTTTGGAAATTGTTTAGTGTTGGTATCACTTCGTCAGTTACTAATTTAGTTATATACAGCCGTGATATAAACAGTATCTCGGTGATAATGGTTTAAAATGGTCACAAACAATATAACTAATTTGATAATGGCAAAAGTCAAACTTAAAATTAATTTTCATTAACATTTCAAGTAATATGTTTTTTCATTTTTTATGTTAGGGACTATTAGGAAATTAATTTGATTTTTTAGGGTTTTAAACATGTAGTTTCTAGGAAGTAAGAATAGTTTCCAATTTTAGTTATCCCTACATTTCCAACTTTCTACCTACAATAATAAATGAACCTATCCCTGGTATTTTTTTTTATGAATATGTAATATGTGTAGTCATAAAAAAAAAACAAAAGAAACAAGTTCCTCTTTTTAAAGAACGAGGAATGAGATCGAGGACTAGCTCCTTTTTTGCTGCAGGAACAAGGAACGAGAACGAATTCCTTTTTAAAAGGAATTTTTCCAACACTAAATTCTATGGTAATTATTATAAATAAAAATAACTATAAAGATCTATGTGCCATAATAAATAATACAATGTAATGTTATAAACTGTCTTTACGTCATTACGTGTTTACGTAACTATCTAATAAACAATTTTAATTTTTGAAACAAATAATACGTAAATAATAAATAGTAGATAATTCTAACGCTGTTACTCGCGCGTAGAGGGATTCGCTCACGCGACACGACTACATCGTCCATTACATACCAGTTTTTCATTTTTATTATTTCCAATTTCTATTTCCCTGATAAAATTTCCAAAAAGAAATCCAATATTGGCCGCTCAACATGAGGAACAAAAAGATTGCAATGTCATAGAAAAAATGAAACGATTAACAGCGAGCGACGATTAGCTATAATAGAGTACACGCGCTTTCCTACTATCGAGCGTCCCCACTTTCTGATAGTTTAGATTAAACTTCACTTCCTTTAAAATTCACTAATCCCCCTTTACTAATCCTTTTTAAAGGGAGGGCCTTTAAAAAAAATTCAAGGTTTCGATATTTTTCGTATGAAAATCATGAAAAAAGTCATAACAGAACACTTTTAGTCTGCCGACTATCCACTGTCCATCTATTTTTTTTAGACTGAATAACTTTTGTTTTTTTTATCTTCTATCAAAATCGGTGTGAAGAGATACTTCGAGAAGTTCATTTTTGATTTTCTTGAAAGGTTTCTCATCTAATTCGAAAAACCGAAACTAACGAGAAATTTTCAAAATATAATAAATATATAATATGACATTTTCTCTGTGAACAACTTTTCTACCAAAAATTTTTCTTCAACATTTAATGATAGCACTGTTTCTAAAAGGAAATTTCACTGAGGAGGTACTTTAAAGAAGTCATTTTTCGGTTTTTTCAGGAGTTTTCTCATCAAATTTGAAAAACTGATAAAAACGGGAAAATATAAGAAACGTGAATTGTAGGTATATAAAATGTAAATTCAAATGTGTGTGGAAAAAAAAATCTCGCGCGTATATTACATTTATATTTTCCATTCTGAGCATACTGAGGAATGCATTTTTTTTACTATGATGTAAGTGTGTGTGTATGCAGGGCTCAAACTTTTCTATCGGAAATCTTACTTTGGCATCAAATTTCAAGATTGGGTTTCTGGTTGCAAATTCCGTCTAGTTTGTACGTTGGAAAGCTCAATTTTTCGTTGACATTCCTTGTGGTTTTCTTAATAATCGAGGGGAAACCGGGAAACAACGTCGGAAAAACAGGAATATTTACACAATACATAAAATACAGAATATATTAAACGGTTTTTGTTATTTTCGATTTCGTTTTAGAGCTGAGCAGTGCTAAGAGTGTATCGGTTTTATTATTTTTTTCTATGGACAACGTTTCTACCAGTAATTTTGCTCCAATTTTCAAGTATAGCACTTTTTCTGAAAGGAAATCTGACTATGGTATTACATGGGAAAATGTATGAAATGCATTATTTTAAAATTGTAAATATCATACAGCATTTCAAAACTCGTATAACAGAATTTAGCTCAGAATCAATTTTTTTAGCAATGATTAATCATTGCGTACAGATATACATTAAATTCCCCTCTATATCTTACCTTCCCAACTTTTTACCTACAACAGTAAACCACCCATCTTGCGAAGTATTTATTTTAGCAAATATCTTGAAATAATAAAAAAAAATACACTAAACAACTAATAAAAACCCGGTGTTCGAAGTAATAATACCTAATATTAACAGGTACCTTAAATAATTAACTGAAAACTAAATTAAATATGATATTTAACAATGAAAATTATTATAATAATAATGTTTATTTCGATTTAATATTAGTGTTCTACCGGCATATATTTTTTGAGTAGTCTTATTATACGGTTCGGTGATATCTACGGACTAAAAACTAATAACCGTCGATTTTTGTGATGGGAAAAAGTACCAGACTACACTCACGATTTTGTCAGTCGTTAGATCATTATAACTTCAAGCTATAATCATTATGACATAATTTAAGATAATTAGAATTAAAAATGGGAAAAAAAATTTAAAAAACACTGGACACTGACCTTCAAATACTATGTAAACACGCGAATATTACATTCAATAATAATTTTGGCTATATGATGATGATTTGTTATGTTGAATTGTAAAATTCAAATTTAGAATAGTATCCATGTAATTACAGTCACAGGTCTAACTGTTAGACATGCGATCAGATTTGTCTACAAATATGTGAGCTATTTTGGAACTTCGCACAGTTCCTTACAAATCTTCTTGTTAGTACATTCGTAAAAATGGCATTTAATATACAAATATCTGGACCAAAATTAATCATGCACGAAAAAACATTAGCAGAAATGCTAATGATTCAATTGAACAACAACAGTGGCGTTTTTGGTGTAAGAATATTTAAATCGTGTTATATAATAAAAATAATGATTTCATAGTTTTTTTTTTTTTTTTGCAAATAAAATTGTTTACTGTAGATCGACTGTTCCACTGGCATCGAGCACAGTTATCCAAAATTGAAAAAAGACGTCTTAGCAATGTCTTCTGCACTTCAAAAAGCTAATTTTGGTAATGGAGACGTTGTAATGACTACAGACTATGGATCATACGAAGGCCAGGTGGTTTTATTAGCTGGGATACTGTTGGGAACGACCGTTAGTACGCTGGACTATAACTTAAAAAAAAGTACCTAAGCATCAATAAGTATAAAAATTTAAAAAAACTAATCTCGTTAAATTATATTTCCAGAACATCAGGCAGCGCTTATTAACGAATCCAAACCAGACGTAATATTTTGTAGTGTGTCTAGTACACATATAATAGCAGATATATTGAATACTGTTACACATCAACCAAAATTGAAGATTTCGACAGTGGTTCAGGATGGGTTTAGTACTTATGACAATATGATTGGTTGTGCACCAGGTGATTTATTTGTAACACCAACAAAATCAGTTAGTAAAAATCGACCGTTTGCTTTAATTTATTCGAGCGGTACTACCGGAATCCCAAAAGGAATATATCTATCTGACGATGCCGTCAAATCTGCATTAATATCATTTAAGTGAGTATACTGGTACGCACTTTAATATTAATTTAGCTACAAAACGAAAATTAATTTCAGTGTATATTTTGTGAAGGTCATTAATGGATGAACCCAATGAATATAGATTTATGATAACATCTCCTGTATTTTGGTATACTGGACTTTTGTTATTCATGCTAGGCATTCATTACGGCAAACCTAGACTTTTTTTCTCATCAAAACCAACGGTTGAACAAATACTTTGTTCAATACACAAGCTTAAAGTAAATATAACTTTGCTGAGACATACATATCGTATACAAAATTAAATAAGTAAAAAGTATTTTAAATTTATGTTCCTGCAGACATAACATTTAATAAAAAATGTATAACTTTTTATTTTTCCTTAGTTAATAAAAGAAAAACGGATTCAATAAACTAATTTTATTCTACAACAATAAAGTGGCCTAAATTTTTAATTCTTTAATTATTGTTTTACAGTTTAGTAAATTAATTGATGATAAATTGTTATGGTTGCTATGAAATATTAATTTGACTTTTTTAGTTATATGGTTTTTCCGGAGTGCTATTTTCCAATTTACCAAAGTAAACAAATAATGTGTATAAAATATAGATCTAAACTTTCATTATTTTTAGATTTGGAGTGTAGCGAGAGATCTACTGATTTCACTATGATGTGGGTTTTTTTTTTGTATTTTGTTTTTTCTGTCTGTGAACAACTTAACCAGAAATCTTCCAAAAATCTTGCTTTGAAGTATCGAGTGTACCACTTTTTCTAAAAAGATATTTTCTCTCGTTGGTGTATTAAGGAAGTAATTTTTTTTTATTTGCTAAGGAATTTTCAAAATAATTGTGAAAAACCCGGAATAAAATTATGGGTAAAACGGTAAATATACGCCGCACCGCAGCGTTAACGATTTCATTATTTTAAATTTGTTAATAAGATGTTTTCTACCAGGAATATTGTTCCAATCGAAAGATGACAAGAGAAATTTTTTATTGAATCATTAATCTAGTTGGTTATTAAAAATGTTGTTTTTGATTTTCTATGTAGTTTTTTAATAATTTAGCAAAATCGAAAAATACGCAGAAAGAGCGGGAAAATGTATGAAAATAATTATTTTATTATTTTAAATTTAATTCAGCTAAACATATTCGTAGAAACTTTAAATTTGTATAAAAAAATATGTTTGCCTTCTCTAAATTTATTACAATTTTAAAGGATTTAAGCCACTTTTGAGCTATTTATAGACATTTAAATTTGAATAATGTTTTTACGTAATTTTTATTAAGTAGGATAAAATTATTGAGACTAAATAGAAATGATTGAAAAATTGACAGGAGGTTCATTATAATTCGTGTTTAGTGGTTGTTTTTATTTTTTTTTATGAGAATTTTAAAATCCAATTTTAACGAAATGTTACGGCCTTTCAAAACATGTAAAACCGAACTTCACTCAGAATTGTTTTTTATCAGGTACAGGTATAAGTTAAATAACTTCATGTATCCCATCTTTCCAACTACCCACCTACAACAGTAGTTACACACGTCTTTAGTATCAGCTCTTTCTTTGCTTTTTTTTTTTAAAAATTAAATACCGTTTTAATAGCAAAATTAATACGTAATAAACATATTGAACACAATACTTTAAAAAGTTATAGCATTTATAATACTGAACATGAAACAAACAATAATAACAGCCAATGGGTATATAATACTTTTTGAATTTTAAATAATTAATTAATATGTATACAAATAGAGATTGAAGCTTGAAATTCAAATTCCAAAATGTCATGCATATTCATTGAGTATTCCAGGTTTTCCGTGACTTTTTCAAATTCCATGACTTTTCCCAGTTTTCTAGGTTTCCAAAAGCCGTGGCTAAATACAATTAATTCTTATATACATCAACACAATACTAATATAATTGTTACAGCCAACGTTTTTAATGACTAGTGTTGCCGCAGTCAATGAGATGATGTATTACCAAATGAAGAATGACCATAAATATAATATTAATAGTTTAATAACATTGGTGGTCGGCGGATCTCCAATGCGACCAGAATTACAAGAAACGATTACTAAAAATTTATTGCATGGGAGAATACCGATAAAACAAGGGTATGGAGCTTCAGAACAGGGAATTATTGCAATTTGGCCTATGAAATCGGATATTAATACTGTTAAACACGGATCTGTCGGAAGACCAGCTGCTGGAATTAAAATCAAAGTATGTTGTAAACAAAACTATGTATATGTATTAGGTATCTCTACGTATTTATAATTGTAATTTCATATTATGTGTAATTTGTAGATTGTTAGCCTAAAAACTGGTAAATGTGTGGGTCCTAATACCGAAGGTGAAATTCGTATTAAATCTGTGTCCAACATGATCGGTTATGCGTATGATATGAAAAAAACAATTAATTCGTACGACGAAGATGGATGGTTTAAGAGTGGTGATGTTGGTTATTATACGAATGACTGTTGTCTGTTTATTGTTGGTCGAATAAAAGAGTTATTGATTTACAAGGACATGAGAGTACGATCATTTTGTATAAGTTTGGTTTTTAAATAGATATTTAATTATATTCTATTCCAACTCTAATGATTTATTTTTGAATAGATATCACCGATCGATATAGAAACAGTTTTATTAAGTCACCCTGCTGTACTCGACGCAGGAGTATCGAGTATAGACTGTTTGGAAGGTGATTTGTTAGTAGGAGTTGTCAAAGTAAAACCAGGTCAACAAATTGAATCTAATCGACTAGTATCTTACGTTAACGGTAAGATGAGGTTTTTAAATAGTGTCTATATATAAAATCATTAAAACGGGTTGTTAAAATCATTTCAGAAAAAGTAGAAGATCACGAGAAATTGCGCGGTGGTGTGATATTCGTTAATGACATACCCAGATCTCCGGCAGGTAAACTTAAACGAGAAGAACTTAAAATTTTAGTCAAATAAATGTGTTGAAAATAAAAATATTTAAAACATATCCATACTTAATAAGAGACGTTTATAGTCATTTAATAGATACCTATACAATATTAGTTAACTGTTAGTTACTACATGTGCAATTTATTGTTAATTAAAATTGTTATGTTCACGTTAAAACAATTTTTCATATTTCCCATAAAAAATGTTTACTATTTAAGTATAATAATAAATTGACATAAGTAAAGTATTATGAAATGTACATTAACCTTTAAGCCATAAATTATCATAGATTAAGTCATGCAAACAAAATTAGTTAATTTTTTAGTGGCTAAAGTTTTAACAGAATATATAATATGTATATTTATTTGTATATACACATATATAATCATGTAAAGACTATACAACAAAATAATTACTGTTTTCCTTAGATAAAGAACTACACCAACTTTAACTTTGAGTGTATTATTGTAAAAACAGATTTCCTACTGTGGCGAATCATAAAAAACAATAAAAGAACGGATACTACTGATAAGTGCGCCACTATTTTAGGTAAATTGGGAAAGTAGAATACATAAATTTAGTTAATTTATATCTATTATAGACAACGATAAACCGTTGCCAACGAAAAATGATTTTGAACGAAGTTTTTTTGTTATACATGGTTTGAAAGGCTGTAATTTTTAATATAATTATCAAAATTAATTTTAAAACAATTATAAACAAAAATTCTATAACACACTACTTTTTTTGACTACTGAGTATAACTTATAATTCAGCATTCTTGTTTGTTCAAACAATTATATCAACATAGTACTTACCAAATAAACACTAAGTAAAAAATTGCATAGGTATATCAAGTGCCTATCAATAACTCAAAAATCACCAAAATGTTTTGAAAATTGTATCACGTCTAGAAAAGTCAAATATAAGTGTTCTGTCAAAATTTCAAGTGTTTACGAATATATTTAACTAAATGACAATAAAAAAACAAAATTAAAAATAATAAAACCATTATTTACGTAAACTTACCCGTTCTTTCTGTTTTTTTCCCGGTTTTGCGTAGTTATTAAGAAAACTACACAGATGCCTTTCAAAAACATTTTTACTTATCCACAAGATTAAAAATTCAACAAAATAGTTTTCTTGTCAAATTTCGATTGGAGCAAAATTTTTGTTCAAAAAGTTGTCTTTAGACAGAAAAAAAGAAAAGAAAAACGATTAGTAAATCCAATTGATTCTTTACTCCGCTCCGTATTTAAAAAGATAGGCAACTAAATTAACTTTATTTACTACAAAAAAACACGTTTTATGTTTATTTGGTTATCTAGCTTAATGGTTCTAGTCAATTTATTTATCGTTGGAAAACCTTTAGTATTGAAAAAATGTCGAGGCTTTGACAAATCTGACATAACTAAGTAAAAACATAGTAACAATCAAATATACCTTTCGATAAAGGATAAATTAGAACCTAGTTAAATTAGGTTAATGTACTTATTTTAATAAGTAAATACGAGGGCCATCCAGAAAGTAACACTTGTTCGTAATTATAAATCAGAGGAAGAAATCGTAGCGATAAAGTTGGTTGCACCATATTGAAGAACGAAATCTTACAACAAGAATTAATGGTACCGAAACTCAGTAGTGTTAAATATGACACAGCAATGACGTTTAGAAAATGAGATTACCACGGTCGCCGCTGCCACAACAATAAAAAACTACAAATTAATAAAACGGGGACCTCCAACAAAAAAATCATAGAGTTCATATTTTGAGATAAGAAGGGAACTTTTCAAACACTTGCCGTCAACTTTCATCTTATTTTGTTTTGTACCGCTTATCTTAGTTTTTTTTTATGGGTTTCGCAGTATTATGCTGCATTAATGGAATTTCCATGTGGCAAAAAATTAATAAAGAGATTCCAGTTTGATCCCAAACGCAATGATTTTTTTTTTTATGAAGGCCGCTGTTTTAAATGTTATCAGTTTGTCATTGAGTTGGCGGTGATCATGGCACTGGTGGTTACTTCGTTCAGTTTTAATGCTACTTTGAGTTGTATCTAGTGCCATTCATTCTCTTTGTGAGATCTTTCTATTCCAATAGGTACTACTAATTTTATCGATACGATTTCTCTATTACCTATACACACAAATAAGCTTTACCTTTCGTATACCAACATTTTTAATAATAAAACATTTTATTAATTTGATTGCCATTTTTACCGGTTTATTTTTTACCAATTACCAGTATATTATTTACTAACTACCGGTAAGAAGATTAGCTATTTCTACGTTTCATATTATATTGGTATACATATAATTATTTACTATTGTCTATACAATTGTCCAATGTATTATAATCCAAAATAGGTCTGTGGCCTATATCATGCTTAATAATATCTATTGCCTTATATATGATAAATGCAACTGTAAAAATAATTATTTTCGCGAATACGATTAATATTTTAGTCATTGGTATATAGCCGGTCATATACCACGGGTTTATATTTTCCCATGAGTTCCGAAAAACCTAGGCGCGCTTGTGTTGTTGGAAGTAATACAAATAAATACGTTTGGCTCACGTACAAGAAATTAGAACGTGCACCGGAAGGTATATGTATTGAACTTAACTTACTATTAATATTCGCTAAAATCTCAATAGTCCCACAGTTGTAAAAGTGGACAAACACTTTACGGATATTATATAGAATATCTCCCGTTGATAAGTCTTATTTAAAAAACACAAGGAACATTCATAGATTGACGAACACATTTGGAAGTCTTAACTCTTAATAATTTATGTCTGATTTATTGATACGTGCATCAGTCTCGAGTATACATAATTGTAGGTATGTATAAAATTAAATTTATAAATATTCTAAACTTTTAAAAAAAAAAAAATCTTGTTTCGGACGATATTAAGGGGATCCATGGAATGTAACAATATTAATTTTTGCATTATTTGAACTGGGTTCTTAAAAATAATATTTGCCATTAAAATTAAATATTGTAATGCATATTTCGTTGGCACCGTGTACACTTCACTAAAAAATGTATGTATATATATATATAACTAAAGAACTATAGAGAACCAAGAATTTGGTGAGGTAGTTGCTTAATGCGTATTAATTATTATAGTTAAAAAGTAATTTTAGAGAAAGTTGTGAAATATTATAATAACCAATATTAATATTAAATATTATTAGGCTGCTATTGCTGACTTGTGTGCCACTGTTGTAGGCAGGCCCAGATTAAGGAGAAGCAAAGGGGGTCACGTCACTGGGGCCCACAAGAAAAAGAGGTCCATAAAAACCATATTATGAGTTGCATAAAATATTTAATGACTTTTTGCCTATTTATTTTATTTTAATAGAATAAGTTTCCATATGAATATGGACCCTCGAGCCCCCCACAACCCTTAATCCGGGCCTGGTTGTTTTATAGGAAACATTTGTAACACTGTAATAATATATAAAAATAAAATAATAATAATTAACATCATTGTTAAACCAATACTTTTCTTGCTACACTCAGAATTTAAAATATATGCACATCATAGTAAAACTCGCTCTACTCAAATTCCAAAAAAAAAAAAATTACACTATATTGTACAAAATATACGTACGATTTACAATACAACTTCATACAAAGATAGGCGGCGCAATACAATAGACTTCATTAGTTCAATATCATTTTAATAAACGCGTTTAATGGTGATTTTAAACGACTTAAGTTAAGGTCACCTATACATTTAATAATATAAAATTTGACAGATAGATTTCTCTGAAATTTTGTAGACTGTTAACAAATTTACAAGCGGTTACTAGCACATTTTTTTTAAAAATCCGCAAAGATGAAATTCGATATTCATATATCTGGACCAAAATTAAGTATACATCATAAAACTATATCCGAAATTTTTATGGCACAATTAAATAACAGCAGTGATACTTTTGGAGTAAGAAATTTAAAAAAAGTTAATTTTATACTTTACACATTTATAAAATGTTCCGTAAATCTAATTAACTCCAGATCGACTGTTCTACCGGAATAGAATATAGTTATCCAAAACTAAAAAATGACGTTTTATCAGTGGCTACAACACTTCAAAAGGAGAATGTTGGATATGGAGATATCGTAATGACAATAGACTATGGCTCGTATGAAGGACAGGTAGTTTTATTGGCTGGAATTTTGGTCGGAGCAACCGTCACTGCGTTAGATTATAATTTAAGAAAGAGTGAGCATTTCAAATATAATTTAATTTCATATTAATATGTTTGATTAAATTTTTAATGCATATTTTATAATTTTCTAGAACATCTGCTAAAGCTTATTAACGAATCTAAACCAGAAGTAATGTTTTGTAGTGATTATAGTACAAAGACAATAGCAGATATTTTATATGATATAGTGCATAAACCAGCATTTAAAATTTCCAAATCAGTCTACGATGGTTTTACTACTTATTCAAGTATCATTGCGTCGTCAACGAATTTGTTTGTACAGCCATCAAAATCAGTTAATAAAAATCGTCCATGTGCTTTAATATATTCAAGTGGTACTACAGGAGTGCCGAAGGGAATATATTTGTCTGAAGATGCCATCAAATACGCTCTAACGTCATTTAAGTAAATACTCTAACTATATTTTGTTATTAGGTATCTACTACTACCTATGTCACTGACGTTGCGTGTAGTATTCTAACAAAATAATTATAATCAATCATATTTTCAAGGACACTTCTACTGGAGGAACCTGTGGAAAATAGATTTATGATAACATCTCCTATATTTTGGTACACTGGATTTTTATTATTGATGCTAAGCATTCATTTTGGAAAACCTAGACTATTTTTCTCATCAAGGCCGTCTGCTGAACAAATACTTTGTTCGATAGAAAAATTCAAAGTAAATATTACATTAAAATATGTGATTTTAACACATTATGGGTATCCACTAAATATGTCTAATTTAATTAAAATATAATAATCATCACTTAACTATTAACCTGGAATAGTTTTAATACCTATTAGCATTGATTATAAATAATCAATGATATTAGTTATTGTCTTTTTGGCTTGAACAATGAATACCATTGTCGTTGTCTAATATGGTTATTGATATCGCATAGTTTTTGATAATATTCACGTAATAAATAATAATCGATGTCGTAATATTGTAGCCGACATTTACGATGACGGGCGTTTCAGCAATCAATGAGATGATGTGTTGCCAAATGGCGAACGGTCACAAATATAATATTGAAAGTTTGACTTCGCTCATGATCGGTGGATCTCCAATGCGACCAGAATTACAAGAAACGATTACTGAAAACTTATTGCATGGGAGAATACCGATAAAACAAGGGTATGGAATTACAGAACAGGGAGTTGTAGCCGTTTGGCCAATGCAATCGGATATCAACACTGTTAAAACCGGTTCTGTCGGAAGACCAGCGGCTGGAATACGAATCAAAGTAATAAAAGTCGACAAAAAAAAAATATCTATCGCAATTTGTTTCTATAAATAATAAATACATATTTTCCCCCTATTAGATCGTCAGCTTAGAAACCGGTGAATGTGTAGGGCCTAATGTGAAAGGTGAAATTTATGTGAAATCAGTGTCCAATATGATCGGTTATGCGTATGATATGAAAAAAAACGTATTGTCGTACGACGAACACGGTTGGTTTAAGACCGGTGATGTTGGCTATTACACGAACGACTGTTGTCTGTTCATTGTCGGTCGGATAAAAGAGTTGATGATTTATAAGGGCCTGAGAGTACGTATTAATAATAATTTATTGAATATAATGTCATTTAGTTTGGATCCTGTTATTTTTTATTACGTGCAGGTGACTCAATACGATTTGACAATATGCAATAGGTAACTATTTAGTTCTGTTAAAAAAAAATACATGTTATTATTATTATTATTATGATTATCGCGCTAAAAATAAAATAACTCTTTGTCGAATTTTACCTGAAAATAGAGACTGTTGCATAGTGTTGTGTCTGTACATATCTTTTTCCGCTACTTTTGTAAACTTTAAGCGGCTTCTTTTTTTACCAAATGAGTTTAAATTCGAGAGTTAGACTTGTTTTAAAAGCTGATTTAAGTCAGTGCTTGAATTCCCTCCCCTCCCGGGGGGGGCGCAAGGAAAGGAGTTCCTCTAATGTTTATTTTTGTTTTGTTTTTTTATTTTTCCAATTCAAGCATTTTAACTTATAGTGATAGAATATCGGTTGAATTTCACCATGTCATTCTGTGAGAAGGCTAGAGTATATTTTAAATAGCTTTGTTTGTATACTCTCCTATAAAACCTCAAAATTAAGCTATCCGTGAAATCTTGTCTAGTATAAATATTAATGACGTGTCTTTTGGGGTGTTAACTTTCAACGTCCTTCCCAGCCATTTTTATGATCATACTGAAATAGTGAAATTTAATAAAACTCTAGCAACTATTTTAGATTAATAGAAAAATTATATTAATTTATTTTATATTTTTAGGTAGACATTTTCTGTGGAGTAGTCAGGGTTTTTCAATGAAGAGGCAGGTTTAGGATTAAGGTCTTTACAGTAGGTAGGTATATATAGAACATATTTTTAATTTTACTGCTTTAAAATACCTGCTTTATTTAAAACATTTTTAATAAAGTCAACAATTTTAATTTTAATTACATTGCATAAACCGTAATTTTCTTATTTTCATCTCTAATTTATTTAGGATATCATCAAGGTCTATCATTATATCACTGTGTATTGTATATGTTCATCAGTCAATTTACTCTCACACGTGATGTTTCGCCAATATGTTTTTAATTTTTTTAATGTTGAAAAAGATCGTTCACTGCTAACAAATGTAATTGGGAGGGTTGCTAAAATCTATAGAAGTTTGAAAGTAGAAGGTAAAATTGTTATACCTATTACCTACATTTTTGAAGAACGTCGATTTTAGTAAATCTCGAGCTTCTGTAAATTTGTATTACTGCATTTTAATTTCACTCACAGCTTCTAACAAAAATTTTTTATCAGAAGTCTTTTTCATTTGAACACTTTTGGTCGTCAGTGGTTTGAATAGCTTCAATCAGATCTATATTCTATGCCTGAAGAAAGTTGCTTAATGGTAAACCCATGCTCAACACGTTTCCAAGTATATAAACTACTAATATAAATTCTAATTTTCTTAGCGCACACATCAATTGGAATGCTCATGATGAAGCATCGTTATCAAGCCAAGTACGAATTTCTGATAAACTTTCAATTATTACATCAAATAACTCAAGGAAAATAATTATTGAATCATGTCGGTCTATCCAGCTTGTTGGACAAAACAGTTTTAAACGGTTATGTGTTGATAAGGACCATGCACGTATTATTCGAATATCGTGCTAGTCCAATTTGATGTTAAGTATACAACGAATAGTACCTAATGGTTATTTAATAAATAAGAAATCATAACTATCAAGTTCCGCAACTATAGTAGGGAGCTAGAAAAATGAGCCTTGACTACCACGACCCGTTGTTCTTACTCACCGTTATAGCCATCGGTTCTCTAGGATTATACTGCTCCCCCGATTACAGTCATGACTCATGGTGCACGGTAGGCGGCAGGCGGTAGCTATACGATACAGAGAAAATCTTCTCTACAGCCAGCCTTTTTAATCTTACTTACCTAAAGCTAATAAAAAATATCAATGGGAGAGGTTAAAACACCTCCTCGCCTTTCTATGCCACTGTGTAGGCATTCTATTACTATTAATAGAACAAAATTGATTGCATGTTGTCAATTGTCCAATCATCCTGTATACCTAGGTATTCATTAGGTATCCCGAAGATATAAATATATACAATTATTTTTTACAGATAGCTCCGACCGATGTAGAAACAGTTTTACTAAACCACCCTGACGTACTTGACGCAGGAGTTTCTAGCAAAGATTGTTTGTACGGGGATTTATTAGTAGGACTCGTCAAAGTAAAACCCGGTCAACATATAGAACCCGTTCGACTAGTATCTTACGTTAACGGTAAAACAATTATTTTTTAAGTTTATATACACAAATGCCCAATTTAATTCTACTGCGTTGTTGGTGAAATATTGTTTCAGAAAGAGTAGAAGACCACGAGAAACTGCGTGGCGGTGTGCTATTCGTAAATGAAATACCTAGAACACTGGCTGGTAAATTGAAACGAGATGAACTTAAAATGTTGATCGAATCAACTTGATAAAATTAAAATAAAATCTTCACGGATATTTCAAAAGACCATATTTCGATTACATACAGTTATGTTGTCTATTTTATTTTTTGTTAGCTAAATAATTAATGGTATACTAAATGTCAATGTCTAATGAGGTCGTAGGTACCATATGCCCATTCTAACCAATGTAAACATTGATTTTTAAACGGAGTTTATAAGATAATTGACCAATTTAGCAACCATAAACTCAGTTTAAGATTCAGATAAACGCCTTTTTTTTTAATCTATTAAAAAACAAATTAGAAAATAAATACAAATATTAATGGTATCTAGGTAATAGGTATATGTACGTATTTTTAGATTCTAAGTGTAGCGTAGATTGTATTGGTTTTACTAAGGTATTTTTATTTTTTTTTTTAATGTGTACAAAAATTCGACCATAAATCTTGCTCAGTTATATACGCGTGGCACCATTTCTAAAAGGGAATGTTGTCCATATAGTACTTTAGGGAGGTCATTTTTTGATTTTCCAAGCGGTTTTCATAATATCTGTGAAAAACCAGGATAAAACGTACGAAAAACGGAAAATTTACAAAAATAATACTTTTATTGTTTTTTCAATTTTTTTTGATTTGTTGTAATTCAATTTAAAAATATTCGTACAGACTTGAAATTTAAACAGAAAAATTATATTTACCTTTTCTAGACATGGTAAAATTTTAGAAATATTTTTACCATTTTAAGCTTTTTATAAAAATTTTAATATTTTTGTTTAAATTTAGTTTAAAATATTCGTATTGACTCTATAGACTTAATATTTTAACAGGAAATTCATATTTGCCTCTTCTAGACGTGGTAACATTTTCAAAAACTTTAAGCCATTTTTAAAGTATTTATAGACATTTTAATTTTGCGAGTTTTGTACGTAATTTTTATTCGGTAGATACTCTGTGGTAAAATTGTTAGATTTGACAGAAATACTTGAACAGATAACAAGAGATTCATTAAGAGTCTTATTTTGTAGTCAAAAGAAGAAAATTTGAGTTTAATGTGGTATTTTTTGTAAAATTATTGTGTAAAAAATTATGTGGAACAAATATAATTTTTCAATTTTTTTTTTTTGAACATATGTATATCGATGATTGTAATTGAATAATTTTAGAAATTATAGCTTTTTGAAGTTATGATATTATGTGGATATTATATGTTATGTTAAATAACTCTATATTGTACTTCCGCAAGCATTTTTGTCGTGATCTAATGTATACTTGTGCCTATTATGATCCTAAAGGTTCCGAGTTAAATCAGTGTTTCGAAAAAAAATTATTTGCATTTTTGTCCCTCTTTTACCTAAATAAGGAAAAAACAATTGCATTTTGCAATTGCAGAGACCCAAGCCATCGAGCGATGGTGAATTCCCCGACACGCCCCAAATGCTTTCTAAATGAGTCTGGTGACAGCCGGCGACTCTGCAAGACTTTTCTGAACGCACTCTTATTGCAATGTACTTCTTATGAGTCTGCATTTTGGTCTGTGTAATCATATCTAGAATATAAATACAAAACATGTTATTCACAATAATTACACTAAACATATTGTATGTATTAAACTATTATAACGTGTCATCAAATTCACATCAATGTAATTTAAACAAAGTTTTCATAAAAAAAATTGGTATAACATACTTAACAATTTTAAAATTTATATTTTGTGACAACATTGAAATATAATATTAGTACTTACCATTATATATTGCATAATACACAATTTACCTACTGTAAGCAGCATGTAATACTTATGACCAGATATCGATGGTAAAATACAACATGCCCATTTTATTTCATATTAATTCATGAAGGTGTTGATTTCATCACAAAGAATCTAGAAACACACGTAATTTTTTCAAACAATAACATCTATAAAAATAAGTTTATTTTAGAATTTACCATATAAAATTTTATTGTTCAGTATAACAGGACATGACTTTGATAACATATTTAAAATTTTTTTACAGAAAAGGTGCTACACTTGAAAATTGGAGCAAAATATCTGGTAGAAAATTTGTTCACAGGAAAAAATAAAAAATAAAATAAACATCATTGTAAAACCAATACATTCCTCGTTCTATTCAGAATCTAAAATCATCATCTGGTAATAGAACAACAAATTCGAAGAAGGTTTTTCTATTACTTATGTATTTATGTTTTATACATATTATTATTTTTTTTTGTAATTAATATATTTCTAAATTGAATAGACATCAGTTATTTTAAATTGAATTTGAAATAAATTTTCTGTTTATTTAAATACCCTTTGAATACTATCCTATTGTTAATTTATTACCCAACTTTAATTTGCAGTTAAAGTTAAACAGTACCAATAAATTAATTGAATATTACATTGTAATATCAAATAGTTTTTCGGTTCATTGCCTATAACTTAAAATAAAAAACAAATAACTATATTTGTGTTTTTATATATTTGATAATTAGAGCTCGGATTTCAATACATTTGCATATTTTTTTTTTTGGAATATCTTACATGAGGCTATCTAAGCTACAAATATATTTTAAGTACTCTGTGATGTAACTATAAAAAAATGTTAAGGGCATTTTCGTCATTTGTAACGCATTTGAAGATATTTTAGACGTATTTCTCGTATTATTACTAAAAAATTAACTTCATTGAAATATAAACATAGTACTACGTAATTTAAATAATTTTTATCTTAAATAATTTAACATCTGGTAATCTGATTTTAAATTAGACAAAGCAACTTTCATTGAAGTATTTTCTTATTGAGCGAAAATATTATATCGGTGGTGCGTGTGGCCAATTTTAAGGCGCTTTTAGCCAGTTTAATTTATTAAAGGGCAATCTTTAGAGTTTTTCAGTCACAAATGCATTTTTTAATATTTTTAGGGCATTTAAATCAGAGCTATTATTATGTAATACAAATACATTTGTATATGTCCAAGTTCAAAAATAACAGTAGATTTTGGTTTTAGGCAGGTTAGTTTATGTAAAAACATAAATATTATTTATTATAATAATATATTTTATAAATTGAAAACTTATTAAAATTGCAAATGTATATTATTCCAATAAAATAATATATAAAAAAAGATATTATCTTAAGCACAAAAGCATTATTTTCTTTTCTTTTTTAATTTTTTAATTTTTCTATTTTCTTTCCTTATTTTTGCTGCCATTTTAGGATTTGCCATTAATATATTCTTGTATCGTTTTTTGGTGGTTTGTTTGAATTCTACATCTGCTAAAAGTTCATCAACCATTGTACGTTTTCTTTCTTTTTTGGTGAGACGACCTGATTTACTTTCATACGGTGAATCTATTACAGTACCAATCTAAAAAAAAAATCTTACGTAAATACATTAATAGGAAAAATTATTAAAATTCACTAATCTTACTTGGAAATATTTAGGATAAGCTTCCGTTTCATTTTTTTTGTAAAAACGTTTAGTATCCAATGCTGACCTCATACGAATTAAGTCTAGGTCATGTCGCACACTATCTGTCAATTTAGTAGCTGGCAGGTTAAACCAGTCTTTGCCTTTAGTTTTTGCTTCTTGTTTCTAAAAAAATAAAAAGATAATGAATCCAAATTAGTATTTAATAACAACACAATATTTAAATATGTAAATAATAAATTATTTTATTAACACATTATTACATAAAAACAATGTTAATTGATAACTATCCACATACAATGTTTTAATCAAATTAAATTTATTGATATAATGTCAATAACATGCACTGATACAATATAATATTAAATATTACATATCAATTACTATAAGACAAATAAAGAATTATAATATTCAACTGTACTTTTTGTACAGGTACATTTTCTTATATTTAATACAATATCTTTATAATTTCTGTTTTATTATTATAAATGTAACAATGATAACAATAATAATAACATTACCCTTTTTTTCTAAAGTTAAAATAAGTGACAAGCTATAATAGGTAAAATAATTGTATCTAAATTTCTTTTTAAAACAGAAATCAATGATAGTTAAAATATTTAAAAAGGATTTACATACTTCGTACAATGGGTGGGCCTCTGTTGTAGGTGAGAAGTTAGAAAGGTAGAATATAAAGGGAAATTTAATGTAAATCTGTATGCAACAATTAATCATTGCTAACGAAAAACAATTTTGAATGATGTTCGGTTATACATGTTTTGAAAGGCTATAATATTTACAATAATTGTCAAAATTTGTTATAAAATTCTTATAAAAAGAATATTCTACAATAGGTACACTTATTTATTTTTTTTTACTACAAAGTATTACTTAAATTAAACCTATTAAATTTCTAAGCATTTGTGTTTGATCTAACAATTTTATTCACAGAGTACTTACTGAAAAAAATTACGTACTTATTAAAAATAACAAAATAAAATGTTTATAAATAGCTCAAATGTTTTATAAATTTGACCACGTCTAGAAAAGGCAAATATAAGTTTTCTGTTCAAATTTGAGGTTTCTATGAATATTTTTAACTGAATCGCAACAAAAAAAACCAAATTGAAAATAATTTATTCGTAAATGTTCCAATCTTTGCCACATTTTTAATTATTAGGAAAACTGCTTGGAAAATAAAAAATTAACCCTCCCTAAAGTACCACCTAGAAAAAGGGTGCTACACTTGAATATTGGAGCAAAATATCTGGTAGAAAAGTTGTTCAAAGGAAAAATTAAAAAATAAAATAAACATCATTGTAAAACCAATACATTCCCCGATCAGTTCATAATCTAAAATAATGCTTTATTTATCCAACAACAACAACAACAATAAACAAGTTAAAAGCATAGGGGAACATTGTTGGATCACTTCATAAGTTTTTGGCTGTAGGTGTGAAATCAGTTTCATAACAAAATAAAAGAAAAAGAAAAATAACAGAATAAAAATAATAACAAATACACATTAACTGAATTAAATGTTTTAGCCTACATAAATTTGATTTAATTGCAATTATCTCAATAACAATAATAATGCAAACTAATAAAAATTGTTAAATAATCTATAAAAAAGGAAATGTAAGTGACTATTTCAGCGACATACACATTTTTACCAGAGTATTTACCTACTTCTGAGTTCTCTAGATTTTGAACAATAAGAAATAAATAGGTACCTATATTAATAATTTTATATTATCACAATTAATATTTACTTATTTTAAATATTAAGAATATGATTAATTTTCTTTGTCACCAGTAGTTATGTGAGAGTGCTTTGGTAAGTTATCATGACAGATTTCATTTTGCATATACTTCACTGGTGATATTTTTATTATAATTGCATGTATATACATGTACATATATTTACATGTATATGACATTTTGCAACAATGGAACAATTATCTATTATTATCTTAATTATCTTATTATCTAGTTTTTATTTTCAATTGTTATTCAATTGATGGTAACTGCCTAATTTGTTCTCATAAAGAATACAATATTAATGGCTTTTTGAAATCTGAAGTATATTTTTCAATAATGGAGACGTTGTACAATTTTTAAGAAGACATTTTCTCACCCAGGATATTTGAACAGAAGAAAATATTTTCTTACACCTTGTCTTCATTACTAGCCCATGTGTATGAGACACTTTAATATAGTTTAATTAATTTACTATTACATTTTTAATATTTTAAATATTTAGGATTTGCATTATCTAAGCATGATACATATATTGATATAGTCTAAGCACGAACTGTGTAAAAATGCTTATAATCTTTTAATACATTTTATTTCATAAACAAAATTGTGTGCCAATATTATTATAAACATATAATAGGTATTTTATTGAAATTGTTTAACTATAATAGGTATATTATAATTGATAGATATGTATCCTTTTACGAACAAACTAGGTTATTGAATGATTGGTGGTAGAACGATAATATATAAAACAACAAATGGTCAAACGAACAGCTGAACAAATGTGGTGTGATGTGATATTCGCAAACAAACGGATTAGGTTACAGCTATGGTCACACTTGTGAAGGAGTCTGTAATTCCATTCAAATTCACTCATTCAAGATGTACTGAACGTGTAACAAATTTGTTTACGAATGATTTAGATATGAAACATCAAATGGCCAATGAACCTTTCAATAACTATCGTTCAGTTGACACCTACTGGTTACTATTCAGTAAACATATTACCCATTCAAGATTCATTCATTCATTCATTCAGATACACCAGCAGACATCTATCGTTTTCAATATTTCTATTAAATGAACGATGAACAACAAACTTATTCGTCTAACTGAATGTAACTGGTCCAATATAATAACTGAATCAACAAAAATGATTAACATTATTTGTATTACCTTTTTTTCTTTTTTAACAACTCTTGAGCTCTTGTCGTTCACCGGCACCTTGTAATTTTTTCGGAAACCTGATTGCAAAACACACTGATTTAATATAGCGTCCGCAGCTTCCATGGTATTGTAATTAGGTAAAAAAAACTGATTTTAAACTGTATACAATATAATGTCTGTTTTAACTGTTTAAAGATACTAACTTAAATAGTTATACCGTGGTTTTAAGTATACTACATAGTACATACTAAAATACATAATAAATAATAAATCCGGATGAATGATAAAAAATCTTATCAAAAACACGTTAGTGTTATCATAAAAATAACCATAGATAATATAAGAATGTATAGGCCATGGGAGTTTATCACAGAAGAACGATTATCATTATCAAGTACAATACTCGTATAATTGATAACAATCATTGGTATCGTATATTTTAGAAAACGCATGGCACGAAAGTACGTGATTATAAAAGCACGAGGGGCTACAAAACATTCGAACCGTATTTTAACCGAAAATATTTCAACCAACCGTATTTAGGTCGAACATGAAATTATCAGAAAATATGGCAAAAAAATATTTCTGCCGACAGTATTTCGGCCAAAAATAAAACAACCGAACATATTTCAGCCGAATAACCCAAAACTCTACTAATATTATCAACTTGTACATTTCTTATCATTATTTCTAATCAGAAAATGTTTAATTAGAAAATTTGGAAATTTGAACGTCAATATTTTGAGCGAAAATTGAAAACTTTGAAATAACGTGAAAATTGTGAGTTGTAATTCCGACACAATTTAGAATAAACAAAAAATAATAAAATTACATTTTTTAATATTTTCCATGATATAAATATATATATTGTTTAATTGAGTTTAAAATTGTTATTTTTT